ATTTTTCAAAATGTCAAAAAGAAGACGTTTTCAAAAATCTCAAAATGGACACTCAAAACACAAAAATCAAAATGAATTCAAAACACAAAACACAAAACTGAAACACAAAGAGAACAACACCTTAATGTTTTGGTCATATGCTCTGTTTTAATTCAATCAAACACAGAATGCAGGAAAACCATGATAACAGCCTATTTCAATTCTAGCACTCCCATGATATGAAATAATAAACCCTTCATGTCAAACAATATATTCCAAACAAAAGAAATCAGCATTGTACCCGAATAATCAAGCGAGCTCATATAAAAATGCAGGTAACAACCAAAGAAGGAATTGCTGAAGAAAGCTAAGTCAATGTACTGCTTGACCTAATATACTTTGTCATTTCAAGTGACATGGTTACTGTGTTAAATATATGCTTAAGGCAGATTAAGTTTGGAAGATCTTTTTAATAAATTATGAAAGAAGATTCTATTATTTAAGAAAGTATAAGTAAGATTCACACTCAGTTCAAACACAAAGAAGGGTAATGCACGACTAATAAAAGAAATATGAAGAAACCTTACATCAAGGTTTTCCAAGAACTCGAACACCTTCATTGGGTTATCCACAAAAGAATCTTCTTGTGGCTTTTCACTGCTCTGAGTTGCTAGATTGTATTCTTCATTATTTTCAACTGTTTGAACGTCTTCGACAGTTATCACACACTATCGGGGCCATCTTTGACATAAGAGGGTGCTTCAATAGAAGTTTCCTCTGATGTCGGAGATGAACTTTTATAGCATCGCAGCCATGAAAACAAAAACCAAAAAGAAATCTTTAAGAAATCTCATCTTTCATCTCTCTTCCTTCTGAAGATTAAAGACCTCATAGAGCCCTAAAGTTACATACACAATACTTCCATAGATTAAAAAAAGGGACTCAAAGAGGCACTTTATTTATTAATTATTGTGATTTGTCACCTTAATCATTTATTAATAATAGTTACATTGTCATTGCATTTCGTTTTGTTTTGTTTTAGGTGTGACAAAAAAATTAGATCGATTTGAGACTCGTGATGCCTTGACTTGTAAGGCGAGAATTCCTTATCCCA